AAATTCTTCAGCCCCTATGAGAATAGGCCAAGACATCTGAAAACGCAATCTGGTCTAATACAGAAAGCCATAGAACTGAAGAAAGCATTGCAAATCGATGGCAAACCAAAAAGCCTCTCTCCCCCCATAAACCCATTAGCAGACAATGATATAGTGTGTTGCACCCAACTGCTTGACTTTTTCAGGAAATCAAAAACTCCTCTAGAACAAATGCGCTCACTGTCCCTTGAGACAATCAATGTCAATTATCATGCAGATCAATGGCTCCAAGTCTTCACTGGTGGGTCAGGCAGATCAATGGCTCCAAGTCTTCACTGATCGGTCTTACATAGAATACCAAGCAACGTTGGTGCAGGTGTCTATTCTGAACTCTTCCCTTTCTACGCAGCAGAGGGATACAATAGATCCGCTTACGAAGGAGAAGTAGAAGCCATTAAGATAGCACTATGCCAATTATGTTGCCTGGATACGAAATTCATCAAAGCAGCAATGCTTTCGGACTCACAGTCAGCAATAAACTCAATCGGAAATAGAGAGCCACCAAAAACGGCCGAGATATACGAATGTTACTGAGAGAAAAAAACAAACAGTGGTTCTACAATGGAACCCTAGACACTGTGGCATTAAAGGCAATGAGCTTGCTGACGCACTTGCTAAGAAGGGGACAGCAACTTTGCAAGGCATTGACCAGCCGATGTACGTCCACACAATGAAGGCCTTATTCTGGAGAGAATTCACTACCACAAAGCAATCAGAAGAGAGTTCAAGACCTCAAGGTGCAACGAACTTGAGCTCGAACAAATGAGAAACAGTGGACAGTGGCACTCTCCCGATCAGAAGAGAATTCAAGATCTCAAGGTGCAACGAACTTAAACAACAAAAGAGAAACAGTGGACAGTGGCACTCTCCGACATAGCCGACTACGAGAATCGAAGCCGTTGCTGAGTTTAGACTACGTATCGGACAGAGCCGTTGCTGAGTTTAGACTACGTACCGGACACGATTGCCTGGTGAAGCACCTTCATAGATTAGGAGTATATACTCAACAATCATGCACCTATGTGACCTACAGGAGGAAAAGGAGAAATCCCATCTGATTTGGTGTCCAGCCATAAAGACAACGACGGAAACCCAGAAGACAACTAATGAACTGTTATTAATTAACTGCAATACATGCCCCACCCCCCCCCCCCCCCCCCTCGTGAAAGCCGAAGTCAAATAAGGGGCTCTTTCTATATTATTGTGATAGCTCAACAATTTCGGGAGCCTTTCTGCATCACGATATTTTGTCAAAGAGATGCGTCAAGGCTTCCTTGTTACAAATTCATAATATTTTGCAGACTTAAAAGTAATAATTTCAGACTTTGAATAAATGGGATTGCCGGGAGAAATCAACTGGCGGGATTTATCTGCTGTGCTCATTTATGAAGTCAATGTGTACGATGTCGTTGTCTGGAGGTGAACACCCGATGAGTGGAATAGCCAACGGCTAATTAAGGGAAATGACAGAATTTGTGATTCATCCAGTCAACTGCTTGATGCAACCCCTTAAACTGACAAGTTCACGTTAGGTGCTTTTCCCTATGACTGATAGTTTGACATATAGGTAGACCATGTGAACGGCTATCTCCTGCTATTGAGTGCTTATTTTAATAATGATACTAGATCTGCAACTTCATAATTGACAAATTGCATGGCGAAGCTCCACCTTTATCAAACGGTGTAATCATCACGAACGTCTCACCTCCAAAGACGAAGGCACCAGGTGACGATCCCGAGAGAGGAACTCCTCCTCCTCCAAAAAGTCTCCTAGCTCACAAAATTGCCCTATTCAATGGCGCAAATAACTTCGTAGGTTCCTGCGCCCACATGTCTGTTGATCAGAAGGAGGGTGTGAAAGCGCGACGCCAAACAATCTCATACTTTGAGTAAGCCGCTCAAGTCTGTTTTAATATAAATTTAACTTTGGCTTTGCAACGAGATTTCTTTTTTTCTAGTTCTTCCAATGTTATAATCCCAATGCGCCGACTGTTCGGTTCAGGCGATATCGGATTTACTGCCACGTAATATAATCTAATTATCGCCGAAGAGAAAAAACTGCAACGGTTTTTCTGAGCTCGATAAAGAACTCCTTTTACTCCATATTCACTGTGATATTGACTAACACTAAAAGATTGATGATAGACCATATTTTGCAATTCTTTAAAGATTAGAATAATAATAGTATTTTTTGTAGATTCTCATCATGCTTAAGTAGCTGAACAGAAGCCTAGTGAAATTAGAGATGATAAAATGGCCATCTTGAATGTGAATGTGTTTGTTGTAGGGATTTGCTACTCACAAAAAGCCTCAAATACAATTGTTCCCGATATGAGTTAAGCTAATCCAAAAAGCTAACGAGAGGACATCTAGAATGTACTAAGTTTATTGGGCAAATTATGACCACGGCAAGCATGATTGGCGCTTCAATAATACTGACTCGACCGAGTTGAATATTAATAGGCGAGTGGCTGAGGTCTTTGCATACACAGTTGTACCCTCCAGAATGCTTGAGAGCGATTGAAATCACTTGATTCAACTATACCAGCGATATGCTCTCAACATTATGTCAACAATGATTCCTACTTCCAACGAAATTAAGCGAGTTTGAAAGATTACCCTGATCACCTTAGCGTTCAAGACAAGGGCCAATAAAGGCCCTATGGTGCATTTAGTAGAAATATCCAATAAGATTGAGAATTCAAAATAATTATGTAAATGAGTATAGACACAATTTCAAAATTTCCGTGACCGTTTATTTGGGAGTGGAGCCGGTAGCCCAATCGGTTCATTCTGGGTGTGAGAGCAAGTGGCGATACAGCTTCTTACCTGCGCGTACTTTGCTTAAATTGTCAGTGTTTCCCACATTTTTGACATTAAAATCGGTAGATAAAAAAAAGACAGCAAAGGTAGAAACTTCGTTGTCATTTCAAATTAAAAAATTGCATTGTTTAGGGTGATAGCTTGAAGTTAGTCCGAATGTTCAATCATTCAATGTGACAGAAATGCATACACACCAATAATAAAAGTGACAAGTTGTGTAACTTGTCCACCACACTTGTATCAAGTTGCCATTGGAGTATGACATAGAAACTGGTAAATGGCGTTAAAGCTGCCATAAGCGTCCAATGAACAATTGAAGAGAAAAAAATACGAGGGATTACCTTCAAATTCACTAAATAAATGGGAATTTTATTACAAAAATAGGATACATAGATTACATATACGCATACGCGCCTTTCACTCTTTATCAATTTCAATTACTTCCATATCTTCCTGTTTTTGGAGTGAGATAACACCTAACGTCGGCATATCAGGATTAGTAGTAGTAGTAGTAGTAGTCACATAAGTTCCTGTTGAATACGGTAGATTGGGGAGAGACATTCGATTTGACGGTGTCGGCACAATAACGGGCCTGGGAGGAGGTTGAGGATTACTACCATCTACTTCAATTATCTCAACACCTTTGTCTTCTTGGTTTTGATGAGAAGCTGTAGGAACAGCAATGGGGCGTATGACGGAGAGTCCTGAGGCTCTAGGATTAGCACAAAACACCGGATTGGGAATGTAAGCAGCAAGCGGTCTAACAAAACTTGTAGGAAGTCTAACAGGAGGCAGAGGATTGGTCGTCTTCGCCCGACTTCCACTGAGTCCTATTACATCTGCACTTATTCTAGGACGAATTATTGACACAGTTGGAGTAGACGGCTTTTGAACAGAAAGTCCGGGGGTTCGAATAATTTGTTTATTAGATGATGAGCTACTAGGTGGTAGCGAAACCTGACGAGTAGCCGGAACAATGGGCCTAATTGTTGCTGATGGTTGTGGCTGAGTCTGCTGCTGCTGCTGCTGCTGTTGATTCTCAATATATTGGAAGAAACGTGGCTGATGAGATTCTACTCCATCACATATTAATGTCGCTGGAAGACCAGGCATATCTGCGTACAAGTCATCTAGAAGCCTCTGCAATTCATCAACATCTGAAGGCACAAATAGAATTAAATGCTGTGGCAAACTACCTCATTAATCTAATCTAATCCAATCTCAATCCCACTCTGTCTCAGTAAATTCGCGGACGGAAAACAAATACCAGCCTCTTTAGTAACTTGAGCTAACCACTTCCAAGTGCCGCCTATTAATAACTCATTTCCACCTAAATTTTGAAGACAGAGACCAAAAGATCGGTTTTGAATGAGCCACTCGCAAACTTAAAATCCCCCTCTACAAATGTGGGCCTATTTTCAAATAAGAGTTATTGTTTAAAAACATTATTATTTTCCACGAATTCTGACAACTTATACGACCTAATTTGATTAAATATACTCTTCAGGAATATCGCCTCGAGCGACCATGATGTTGTGTGACTTGTACCAGCTGCAGATCTATGATTTAAGTATTCCAAATCGTCATGTTTTCAAAATTATGAGTACTTTGAGTTTAATTAGTACCTATAAACTTTATCAATTATTGGTGTACGCTTTATTCAGGGAAAGCTGATGGACACTTACGCCTTCTCATTTCCTCAGCTCGTTCTGGGTCACAAGGAAGCTTCACCCGTTTAAGCGGACCAATTCCAACGAGTTTATCTGATACGCGTATATGAAGGTTACGGCTAATGCGAACCACGTTATTTTTGGGCGTTTGAAAACTGTTTTGGCGACTTTGACCATGATATGCCAAAACAACTTCCCCCAATTTCACCTCCACTATTAATGCTTGCTCCAAAACCCTCAGACGATCGTGCAAAAAAGCAATTCCTGCTGGATGATATTTCGCTCCTCGACATTTTTGAAGATACTCCTCTGTTGAGAAAAAAAGATAAAAAGCAGATATATAGTGAAGTTAGCCTGAAACTACCTCTCCAGTCTTAACGATCAAACAAATATGAAAATATATAGACAAAAGACTAAGAGTGAATAAATGGAGACAAGATTACATCCTAGACAAACGAAGATGTAGCAAATAAGTCATGCTCAATTCGCTTAACACTTGGAAACTGAAATAATTAGTACATGATAGGCAAGCCTAGACTGGCTGGATATTTGAATTCAAAAGAATAAACACTAAACTGCTCCTATGTTGCCCTTTTTTATTCAGAAAATTTATTTACTTCATGGTTGGGAGTGTGTGCCCACTGCTTTGCTCCAAACAAACTTACGACTTTTTGCTGCACACAATAAAGCGCACAATTAAGCTTCTTCTTCTTCTTGACAAGAAAACGAATAACAGTTGTAGCTAAGATGAAGTAAATACATGTGATCGAAACAGCAAACAGATCTATTAAACGCAGTCAATGCATTTACATCATGCCCGTAATCGATTATTGGCTAATGGTGACGTTGGGAAATATTTTCGGTTTACCTTAGTTTTACATTTTGTATCTGGGGTTTGCAATAGACTTACCTCCACGTGGTGCACCCTGGACAACGTATACTCATACGACAAAAAGTCTATTAACCGGCAGTTGGCTTCAAATTATAATGACATTCTGTATCTGATTCGCCCCTCATTCAAAAGCCTGTTTAACAATTTTCCACTCTATTAAACGCCTGTGTTGTTGGAGTTGAACTAGAGAGGCCACTTAGTGGATGTGCGTACAAAGAACTCTAGTTCACAAATATAAACTAAACTACTCACAAATTAAAAGTAGCAGTAGTACTTACCATCGGAGAATCTAACAGCCATAGCATCTCGATCGGAAGGAGGCAAAATATAGTCGGCAATACCAAAATTTAGGATCTTAAAGCGAGGATCGTCATAGATATCATGTAAATTGCCATAACCATGATAAGATATTGCTGCAAGGAGGTAGTAGTCATGACGATAGTTCCACTTTCGCATTAAAACACTGAAGAGGCGCCGTTTGTCGACCTTGAAACGCCTGCATCTTGAAGGCTTTGGAGGTGCTTTTGATGACGACGGGACCATTGCAGAGCTTTCAATTGTAAATTCTGAGGTCACTACGGCTGCCTTCATACGATTGCGTAAGATCTTTGCGTCATTCGCCCAGTATTTTCGAAGCAGTGTCAAGCCACCTTCGTAGATATCGAAAACGAATCGTGAAGGAGATTGTGGCTAAGAGGGAAGAAATGAAAGTTACTGAAATCCCAAGCATACTGACAAGGCAATAACGTGGTCAATCCCGGTATAAAAGCACGCGTCAGCATGCAAGTAACATTGGCAGAGGTGAACCTTGACTAGTATGGCTATTAGTAGGATCAGAGGAATTACACAGCCCCGTAGTACTCGCTTTAATACAATCGCATCCTCATGTCAACATTTCATGAATCTCATAGAGTTGATAACCTGCCTTTCTAATATGCTTGTTAACAAAGTTCAATTGATGTCACACTTACAATAGGGCTGACTCTCTTGAAGATGGAATTGTCAGAAACTCAAGAGATGACGATCAATGTGGTTGCAAAACAAAACCCCAAGACCAAAAGTATACAAAATAGGTGTATAAATTAAGGCCAAGGTAAAACTGATAGAGACATTGTAAGAATTGCTTGCGATTATTGACATTCAGCACATTGCGTCTGCTCCACCATCGATCAATCAGTTTATAGTGACCAGGTTTGTGAGATTTTAAAATTTAAATGGTCTTCTCCAGGCACTCACTTACTACATCTGCTTACCAGTTATTTTGAACCGGTTAAAATCCTCCTTCGAAATCTCAGGATTTGGGAGAAATTACCTAGTTCCCAGGTTGTTCATTTGAATACGACTGAGTAAACCACTCAACGCCTCCATACCCTCCCCCCACCACAATAAGCGGTTTCTTGGAGCCTTTTGTTAGTTCATATTACCTATTCCGAAAGAACTATCTACACTTCCCTTGCAAACCTGCCTCACTGACGATTTCATGTCCCTTCACAGCTATACACTTCTACTGCTTTTGAAGACCTGTCGATAAATATGCACCATCTTCACATAGGAAGTGTGGCTGTCCATTGTTATGGCAATACATTGCAGTGAGTATCAACCTACAGTTACATGGGGCTTTAAATCCGTACAAATCACTTACCCTCTTGAAAACTTTGGGAACCATGTTGAAATCTTCGAATTCAAAAACTTTGCCCCTGATGAGGGAAACGGCTCCAAGTCGAGACAAAACAGCTATGGGATTGACGCCTTCATTGGGAATACCATCGGACCAACTGAAGCATAAAAGGTATTGGATTAGATAACGATAATCCACCTAATTTTCACTCTGAATTTGTCATTTCTCATCCAAACCACACATTCATAATGTCTGCTCTCCATTCGGCTAGCACGAGTAAGAGGAGCTTTCATATGGAACTACGCCTTCTCCCAAAGTGGTTTGTTGTTAGAAAGCAGAGGCATTTTAGGCATATGCATATGAACCTTGTAAAGGCTCAAGTGATCGTCAGACGTCACTTTCTCCCACATTGATCTCTTAATCGTGTCACAGGCGTACTCCCCTACTGTTCCAACTGAATCCACATACTACCGTTTAACTATTCCCGGCTACCCAGTCTCGTTCCTCAGATAGCAACTATGATATTTGAAAAAAAGTAAAAACCCTTGAGTTAGACATTTAAACAATGTCTAACTAGAGTATATAGAGGGGATGGGGGGAGGGAATATAGTACTAAAAAGTTTCAATACTTACTAAAGAGCTTCAGGATTCATAATTGTGCAATCATGGAACAAGTGCCTCATAAAAAGGGTGTGATAGGCGAAGATCTGTTCAGGCCTCTTGGTAAGTAGCAAAGTAGACAACCATTCCGGTGGTGGAATTGGACCAGGGGGTGGAAGACCATTTCTAAAACAGAATAGTAATACATATCAGCCCCATCCTCTTTCACTATGGTTCAGTAGATTTAAAGGGAGAATGGCTTAACACATGAATCCAAACCCCAAAAATACAATTATATTGAGGCATGTGTTCTTATTTACGCCCCACTTTGCAAGTAAATAGCTGATAAGGCACTTACTTCATAAGGCATTCGAGGTAGGACTGACGCTCGTGAGCATTGAGCCCAAACACTTTCATACTTTCGTCTTCAAACTCGACATACTTGTAGTTGAGAGAAAGATCCCTCAGAGGCCTATAGGAGTTCGGACTGTCCACGTCCCAGTTGATTTCACGATAGAGGGCTGCTAATAGTCTCTCCTTCTCGTCAGGAATTCGACGCGCTATCTCCCCGTGTGGACCAGTGCATCGACTTGAGCGCAAATACCTTCTTCTGCGCTGTGGAGGAAAACAAGGAATAAAACAAAGGCATGAATGATATTTACCTTTGCTACTCAGTGATTCCACTCAATCTAATGGATTCTTCTTCAAATATCAAACGATTGTTGATTACCTGATTAGGGCAAGTGACTACTTCGGCTTATTCATATCTTAAGTCTTATTAATGACAAAGCACCTTGAGGAAGCGGTCTCTCTAAGTTAAATATGCAGGGAGGAAAACCGAATTCTGTCTCCCATTTGCAAAGTGAGACACTAGTTATTTTGCATTCTGCTACAATATTTTAGCCCGATTTGATTTAGTTTCAATTAAGTAATCAAGTTAAACCTACTGGAGGTCTATTACGACGAGCAGGGGTAGGTCTGGCTTGAACCTCCCTATTATTACCCCCTTCCTCCGTGCGTTCCGCAACCACAGTGGTAGACCCCCGATTTGTACCATCAGCTTCAGGAAGGAATTCTTCATCCTCCTCAACAGCGGTCCCTCTTCGAACACGATGATCTACCGAAGACGCATCTGAGGGGTCAATGTCTGTCTCCGCTTCAAGCTGAAGGATGTTTGCCATTCCGGCGGCACTTCTTCGTGGGGGACGTAAGCTGCGGCGAGGAAATCCTGTTACTGCTGCTGCCAAAGCAGCCTGAGTACCCGGTTCGGGCTTGTTGAATTCACCCTCTAGCAATCTGAAAAGGGATAGTGGGAATCGTGTAAACAATGAAATGTGTCCAAAGCCAACTTTCTGGACTGTTTGAATTGTTTCTCTCGTGCAATCAAATACACTTAATAAGAGCTATTTAAGTGAAAAGTAATATCCGCACTTTGAGAATTAGAGAGGACTGAATGGACCCACATTATATTAGTGAATAAGCAAATTCAATAACAACCTCTGCTCCCGTTTTCTGACATTAGGTAGGAGACACGGGACCCTTGTTAAGAGTTAACATCAGTACAATGTAATTGAGTTTTACTTAAGCTTAACACTCTGTGGAGCAGTGCACTTTTACCCTTCTTCTGCCACCATGGTTTGCCACAATTAGGAGGCCACTTACCTTCGACCGTGCCCAGAAGCAAAACTTGTGACTGCTACTTGATCATCAAAGCTGTCATCACTTTCAATGCTGCCGTCCTGCTTGTCCTCTCCTTCCTTCCCTCTTTTTCCGTTAAGATCAGCACAACTTTGGACCATTGAAGTTGCAAGAACATCAGCGGTAGAGGATACATTATCAGAAGAATTCTCACGTGTGTTAGTTGTGACAGTTGTAATTTCCTCTACGGCTGTGTTGACCACAATTTTGGCAGATTTAACGGCGGACTCACGAGTTTGTCTGAACGCCAAGGCACCCCTAAGCACCTTGGCTTCAGCCTCCTGGGCCATCAGACGCTCGTAATGCCTCTTCAGCAAGTCATCCCAATACTTCTGCCAATTAACCTGAAGAGAGGGAATACAACATGAGCAATTTAGCGGAAAAAGGACAGCCCAGAAAATGTAAAAAATTAGAGACGTTAGCACATTGCTGTAAAAGTGAATATTGTATCCTTGCCAAATAAGTTAATAACTAAAAGATACGAAAGGTCAAAATATCTCTAATTGATATTAGGCAGATTTCTATTGAAGAATATATATGCATGCAAAAACATTATCAGATATAAATTAGATACGTCAATGGGTATCTTTCATCATAACATTAGTTTAGCCATCATCAATGTCATCAAAGAACTAACATTTAATCTGCCTTCATATGGGGTGTGCGACAGACTTACCTCTACGTGGTGCACCCTGGGCAACGTATACTCTTACGGCAAAAAAATCTATAAACCGGAAGGTGACTTCTTACTTCAAGCTACCATGACCCCACTGTATGTCAGATTCCACTACTTTCACAGTACTCACCTCACCTTTTTTCTGCCTTTGGGTCTGTTTGTCTATCTCTTTTACATCCTCGTATCACTTTTCTTTTTCCCCTCTCGAATTTTTCTCACTTTGATGTTCCCCCCCCCTCACCCCCTTGTGAAAGTCGAAGTCAACTAAGGAGCTAGTGATAAATATCATAAAGCCTGCCGTTTGAAATAATAACAATCTTCCTTCATATAACTTTGGGTACAAATAACTGGTAAGAAACAAAGCGATCAATTGAATTGGCTGTTAAAGTCGGAATGAATTGCTTTCGTTAAGTCAGGAAAATAAAACATTTCTAATACTTTCAAGTAAATGGGTGAATTAACACCAATTGACAAAACAAGTATTTAGACGTACTCTTTCTACACCCATTTCAGAGATGTCCGTCTCCTCGGTCACATCAACTTCACCGAGAGAAGGATGGAAGACGAGTGGTGGGGCATTAAAATCAACTGCGGAATCGACGTCTTCATCAGATATAGCGGTGGCAGACTTGGAGAGAGTTTTTCGATCAAGCAGACGCTCCAGAGCTGCGTCATCATAGACCAGAACTCTACTTCTTGCAGTTGGCCTCTGCTTTGCTAAAAGAAGAGTGATAAAGGGGGTACAGTAAAGTTCTACAATTAGCAACAGCTACGACTGATCGTTTTGCATGACCATATGATTGAGGATGATATGAAGGAACATAGGTGAGACAGATATTATAACCGCGGAAAGCGTTGAAGACGAAGAAGACAGGAAGCAGTTATCGATTACAATTTGAAATTTTATGGCAAATACTCTCCAACCAAATGGCAGTTGTGGTAGACTTCGTGGCTTAAATGGGCCGATTTTAAGTGCAAATTTAGTCCAACAAGACAAGTCTAGCATACACACGAATCTTGCTGAACCACGGAGTTGCAATTTTAGGTCATTTAATACGATTTTGAGGTGAAAGTTTAGACACTTGCTGGTAAATAAAGCATAACTGAAGATCAGCTTTGGAATACTTGTCCATTCAAGATAAGCAACAGGTAAACATTTCTCACTAGTTAATACCCGATTGGCTGCCATGGAACCTGCTGTAATGCAGTTCGCACGATCCACGAGGATTAAGCACAAAATGTCCCGCATCGGATAGACTAGTTAGAGATCAATCGTATAATTGCATTTTGATCATACATTGAGAGCCCAGTTAATGGCCGTTTTAGGATTGAAGCTTTAGCTGATGGAGCAAAAGGAAATTTTGTGCAGAGCATCGAATGATAGGCAAATGGCGCGCGCGCCGTCTTGCAACGACGAGAAAAAAATTCTGTCCGGTTCCGAGAGTCTATAACAAAACCAGAGCCAAGAAGGATGATCGAACAACGGCGAAGTCGGCACGTAGGATAAGTAGAAATACCCTTTTGGATTGAAAGGCAGAGACAAAAAAAATCCGAAATCCGTTAGTGGAGTGAAAAGCAGACCGCAAGAAATTTAAGAAACTCCTCAAGTGCTAAAACGATGAATCAAAACTCATTTCCTATCTGGCTGTAGTTCTTTTTGCAAATGAAGAATGCGCAATAGCTTTTCGAAATCATCAGGGCGGATATGAGTGAGAACCGCACCGACACCAAAGTAGTTTGAAACAATTGTGAAAACGATAAATCGGTGGAGTTATACTGTAAAGGCATCGTGTTGCAAGTGGGCGTGGGGTCTTTAGCTTATTCCATTCAATTCCATTTTTTTCCAGCAAACGCTTTTGGAAGAGCTCGATCATCATCAAAATTTAGCCAGAAAGCACTATAGTTGGAGATTAGACCCAAGAATGAGTGCAATGTGGAAATGTCCATGACATTTCTGTATTTCTCCGAAATTTGTTTGGATTCGAAAACTACCATTTTCATTAAGGACACTCCTAGTTAGCTAAAAATGAGAAGAGAGAATGTACATTTCTAAGCTCAGCTACTGAAACACTGTTCCCGAAAAAGTGCGATGACACGTTCTTGAATTTCATGCTGAGAGTGGCCTACGACGATTCAAACAAGATTGGATAGCGAATGGAAGCCCGGTATATTATAATAGGCCACGATGTGTATAAGTAGTCTGTAACTCCCGTAACTAGTGAAAGCTCGATTTGAAAATAAGCCTTCGGAAGATCAAATTTTTAGAACTATTTACCGCCATTCGATATCAGAATGTCAATGTAACAGAGAAAGTTGGGATCCAGTGCGAAGTTGACCGAAATATCTTCCGCTTTCGCAGATAGCACGTGGAACATATCAAAGAAGTGTAAAAAAATCCAATGATTATTAAGAGTTGTGGAACGTTTCGTCTCAGCATGCTAGAAATTGTGTGAAAATTTAATAACTGCTGTTCGTAACTTGTCATGACCTTGGAAACAGTAAAAAATAACCAAGATTCCGAATTTGAACAATACGTGTAGAGTTAGGCAAAGTACCACCATTTGAGCGAATTTAAGCAAATTTTTGCATTGGCTGAAAGTCAAATCTACACTTTAAATTAAAATTATGATTAAAATATCCCATTTAATCCAACAGCGATTTTGAATCAATCCCACATTTCTACTACAAGATTGAGATCTTGGTACGTCAGAATAGGAAATAGTCAATCACATTCGATGTTAGAATTAACCAACGCAAAACTAACCTTCAATGGGGTTCGAGGTTGCTTCTGGTTCATCATTTGTTCCCTCAACTGCTGTAGTTTCTACAATTTCAACAAAGATTACCGATACACACCTACACACAAAATTTTTCCAACAGCAAATTGAGGATACTTTGCATAAGCTATCTCAGCTATTGTAATAATAATTTATTTTCACGAAGTAACGTGCAATGTATATCGCTTTCAAACGAAAATTACTCAAAAAATCGGGGTGTGCGATAGACTTACCTCCAGGTGGTGCACCCTGGACAACGTATACTCAAACGGCAAAAAAGTCTATAAACCGGCAGTCAACTTCTCACTTCAAATTAATATGGCCCCACTGCATGTCATATTCGACCATTTACACAGTACTCACCTTACCCCTTTCTCTACTTCTATGTCTGCCTCTTTTACATTTGTAAATCACTCTTTTGTTCCACCCCCCCCCTCCACTTTTTTGTGACTTTGATGTTCCTCCTCCTCTCTGTGAAGCTCGAAGTCAGCTAGATAGCTAATGATAACTATCAAAACGCCTGCCATTTAATATAAATTACTCAAACAAATCAACATATTCCTCCAACGCAAATAGTTTTATCAAAAGCAACTTCGGTGGGAATGAAAAAACCCGACGATAATCAATACTAAGTTCAGGCCTTAATAACTGACAATTTGTAAGGAGCGACATGTACCCTCATCTTATCACTGTCCTTTAATTATGTATTTGGAAAATCCGCTACAACTTGGTTTTTTAAAATCAGCCTTTAATTGTTTCCTTTTTCTTGGTAATTATATGAACTAGCACTGCTAATTATATGCAGAATTTTAGAAACAATAACTTTCCCGTTTAAATTATAACTAAATTTAGCCTGAAATGGCTCAAGGAGATATTCAACAAATGAAAGACCAATTTCTAGAGCAGCTGTAGAAGCATTCTAGAACTTTTCACGTTCTTCTCCCTCGATCTAAACGAACAACTCGCGCACCTTTTACACGAACTGCAATGAAGTTCTGATCAAGCGGTACATGCATGCATGCAGGATTTCAATCTTTTGACGAGATAAAGTCCAACCAATTTCAGCAAATCAAAGCCTTAATCTTCGCCTTTGCCCACTAATTATGCAAGAGATAAATAATGAAAAGAAATTGTAAAATATTTTGAAAATTAAACAAACCTTCGACGGTATCAGGTACAATGTGGTCATCCTTTGGGGCTTCGTCGACCTCCATTGCTTCTACACCTGTGTAAAGGATGCAACATATTAACGCATTTCATCTATTCAAGTAAACATTATCTCCAACGGAAATTAAAGGAGGTTTGAAAAGCCTAAAATCTCTTCAACTGAAAAGGCTTAGGTATAACAACTTCCCCTCAAAACACAAAATACATAAACTATAATAAGGTGTTTCCAATACAAAGGTGGAGCTCATTTAAGTGGTTAAGGAGCAAAACCAACAACAAGACCAGCATTCACAGGTGTAAATAACGAAAAAAATTATAGAAGTCCCCTTACGAGATGAAGCATTTTTTGTCGATGGATTAGCTCCATTTTGCACTCTGTTAGCTACAGCCTCGATTTCCAAAGTACCTACTAAGGTGATAAAGCAGTCAGAATTTGAATCAGGTACAAATTGTCAACAGGGCACACAAGAATAATCCCACAACTCTGATTAATAAAGGCCGTATATGCTAACGCTGTTAGACATGGCCATTCGATAGCCAAAAGCAAATTGCACTTACTTGCACCACCTTCTACGACTTCACTCGGTGCGCTGTTAACCTCCATAGTCTCTGCAACGTGAAAATGAGACTAAGTCAGCATATTTTAAAATAGGTACGCAGAAATATAAAAAAACTTTAAAATTAACCTTCTATAGCTCCCGTTTCATGCTCATTTTCGGTCTCCATTGCTTCTAGTAACGGAAAAAGTCCAGTTAGCACAGAACGTTTCGGACTACCAAATGCAAATAAATTAATAGATGCTAAATGCTGAAGGGTGTGCGATAGACTTACCTCCATGTGGTGCACCCTGGGCAACTTATGCTCAAATGGCAAAAAGTCAATTAACCGGCAGTTGACTTTAAACTACATGACTCGACTGTATGTCATATTCGACCACATCCACAGTACTCAATTCATCTTTTTTCTACCTTTGTGCTTGTCTCTTTGCCATTTATGAAACACTCTTCTGTTCCCACTCCCTTTCGACTTTTGTGACTTAGATGTTCCTCCTCCTCTCTGTGAAGCCCGAAGTCAGCCAAAGGGCTAATGATAACTACCAAAGCGCCTGGCATTTGATATGAATGCTGATCCCTTTAAGCTTCAAGAAAAATGAAGCTAAGAAACATCGTCTGATACTTAGCAACCCGAATTAAGATGAAGGTACGTGAATGAAGATCTGAATTGTTGTGTTTTGAGATTCGAGACACCAAACCGATTTCCATTGAAGAAGTGAGAGTAAGCTAAGCAGCTGACCTTATCAATAAGGAAGCGCACACACCACGTGATGTTGACCCACGAGAAACAAGTTTTCGAACAAAAAGTCAAACTCGTTATCAGGCATCATACTAAATCGGGAAGTTGTTACTGCAGAAAGACGATAATTTCATCTCATCTTTAGACACCACGCTTCTTAGTCACCAGTTCTACTTCTCATATACCGTTTAAAAGAAATCTTTCATTTGGAATTACTCTGTTTAATGTAGATGTTTCCTAATAAATAATAATTCAGACTATTCTTCTTATGGCAATTTTTCGGTGGCAGGCGAACTCATATTGATATGGAGAACATATCGAGCCGTGCCACCCCACCCCTCTCCCCTCCCCCTTCAACGCTTCTCCCAAATTAACGATTGTTGGATTTTCGGCACCCACCACTTCCTCGTACCTGCCTATTCAAATGCGATTTTGAATGGCTCAAATCTATTGCGTTTTCATAATACAGGTCTAGACTAGAGACGTTTTCTCTAATCTGCTTTTTACGTATTCCATATCAAGGAAACCAAGTATATATACCAATAACTTGTGAGACCTTCCAATTTTAATTTTAATTTAAAGAGATGCTTGAATTTATCCAGAGGTGAAACAACTTGAATTAGCGCTCTAAATCCGAGATCATGTTCATCATCTCCTGGCATTCCTGTCAGTAATCGAAAAAGTGCAACGAACAGTAAATCCCAAACAGTTCACCATTCGAGAACGACGACAATCTCCGCAATATTTTAAGAGACACTGCACAGTTAAACACCTCTTCCAGTAAACCACCCCCAGTGTCAAAGATCCACTCACCAATCGGCTTTATTGGCTTCTCATTCTCCTTGCCGTTCACCGTTGCGTTACTATTGCCTGTATCTTCGTCCTCCGCAAAGAGTTCAGTCACTCCAGTCTTGAGAATGTGGAAGATCTCACTTTGGGAGAGATTAGAAGCCGCTTCCTGGGAATCTCTGGATCCCTCATCCATAATGGTTTGCGTGAGAGCAAGTTTTCTACGGGCAACTTCAACAACTCTCTCCTCCACAGTGCCTCGCATCACTAATCGATAGACAATGACATGGCGCATTTGTCCAATGCGATGTGCGCGAGACAAGGCTTGCACATCACGGTGGGGATTCCAGTCGGAGTCGAAGAGAATGACCTACTCAGAGGAAAATGGTAAATACACGAAGCAAAGACACAAAGTTGTTTGTCAAAACTCAGATTGCATGAATATTGAGTGCTATCAGAAAGTAGGGAAATTAAAAATAAACACATATTCAGTTTAATCTAACGGTTTTAGGTTAAATATTTCCGTATGTCACGATATTATCACTCATTTACAACCAACCCTCATTACTTTCATTTTCTATAAATGGTACGACTAATGTATCCATTCTTTTGTTTATTCTAGCAAGTAACAGTGCGTAATTTCAAAGCTAAAACTTACGGTGTCGGCAGTAGCGAGATTGATTCCTTCACAACCAGCTCTTGTAGATAGCAGAAAAACAGTGGATCCAGTTTGGCCGGTATTGAATCGATCAATGGCTTCCTGTCTTTTTGACCCACGTATTTTTCCATCGATCCGTTCAAAATGCAACCTAAACACAGACAGGCATACATACAAACAACTCTGGATTTGTTCAAAAAGCCTCGTTGATAATGATTGTAGAGAGGAAGAGCTTTGTATCATTTATAGATGAGGCAACATGGCGCTTCTCGACACAAGTATGATCCAGTCTTTGAGGTTGCGCCGCGTCCTTGAATCATGATTTAACTTTAACGATAATTCATAAAGCAAATTTACAACATACACCCAGCGAGTCCCTAAATCTAATTGATTGAGCCTGAAATCAATAGGTTTACCTCACTCTTCCTTCTTACTTGCTTCCTTCCTCAGTAGTCTTTCCTCTGTTTATCTACCTTGATTTTTCTGTCAATCAATGTTGCTCTTCAAAGCAAATCTTTCTTGCTATTGAAAAGTATCATATGCAACAACAACTTAACAAACAGATGGCTACTCTACGGCAGGACTATTAGTCATTCTGATGGACTCACTCTACGCTTCTAAACCTCCCGAATATGGAGCATAGCATCGTCCTAATCATATTTAAGAGACCAAGGATGTTGCATCTGAGTAAATGAAAGTTAACTAGGGAAAGCACATGTCACATCACTCAGATCAATATCAAAGGGAATATAACCAACCATAAATCGCTAATACTGAATGGAATGAAGGTAAAGACCGTGTGAAATATTGGTCGCATTCTCTCACACCAATATCCGCCTTTAGATCCCCATTACCTGTATAAACCTTAGCTGTATTTCAAAAGATGTAGATATTCAGATTAAATTTGCTTTACATCAACAATAAACACTTCAGGTACACTCCCCTTTTTTCTACCTTGCTGTAATTGGGGTGCGCAATAGACTTACCTCCACGTGGTACACCTTGGGCAACGTATACTTATACGGCAAAAAAGTATATTGATCGGGAGTTGACTTCTGATTTCAAACTACTATGGCCCGGCTATTTGTCATATTCGACCCCTTCCACAGTACTCATTTTACCTTTTTTATGCCTTTGTGTCTGTCTGTCTGTCTCTTTTACATCTGTGAATCACTCTTCTGTTCCCCTTCTCGACTTTTTGCCACTTTTATGTTCCTTCTCCTATCTGTGAAGCCCCGAAGTCAGCTCCACGGCTAATGATAACTATCAAAACGCCTGCCATTTGATATAAATACCTTGCTGTAATTAATAACCTGGAATAACAATAACTGAACTAAAATTATCCCCCCCCCCTGTACCAGGTGGAGGTCCAACGATAAAAAACGTGATAGACTTACTCTTCACTATGAAGTGCAATTTCAAGTAGATCCAGCATAGCAACCAGGTGGCAGAAAATGAGAACCCTATGTCCACGCTGGCGAAGTGCTCGAAGCATGCGCATAACCAAATGGAGTTTAGCACTATTCTCAATTAAAGCTGTGGGCTCATAGGGTGGTATTTCTTTTGAATCGATTGGAACAGCAACTCGCGGTGCTACCTCATCACCAGCTGGCATGAGATAAGGATGATTGCAGACCTTTTGAAGATGCGTCAAGGGATTCATGAGACACCGAGTTCGGAGCTTCTGGTAGTCCCGTAGAAGCACTAGCTTGTAAATACGCCTGCGAAGTGAGAACCAAATTATCCCAACAATATTTAGCACATAAGCGGTTATAAGTAAGGATAAAGAACTCACTTTTGGAGAGGAGTCATACTAAGGGGGACAATGATTTCGGTCTTTTTGGGAAGGCTTTTGATGACATCGTGTTTGAGACGACGAAGAATGTGGTCCTTGAGTGCGTTCTGAAGGTACTCAGCTCTTTCTTCTGGAGTCATGGAGTTCAATTGAGCATTCAGTTCATCAATGTTGCTAAAGAGCAAGAAGGGCTTATTGATCTCTAAAACACTAAATTCCGTACTGAGACATTCAAATGATTTAGATGCAATTTTTTGACTGCTAAATCAAGACTCATAGGTAGGGCAAAATTCAACAAACAGTGAACTGAGATTAAGAGAAAGGAGGAGAAAAAGTGGACCACTACAAATCTATGAGTACAATCATGATAGTAGGCAGGCGAACAAGCACATCGGCTTTCACAATAAATTCAACATCAATTTCACCCAGATGGTAGGAATAGTTGCAGGTAAGAAAGGGGGATATAAATTAACGACGTATGAATAAATATTTTCATCTACAGAGGTGTCCCAAAAAATGTATACACATTGAAACTAATTGCAAACGTGGCGTTCAATTGGAATGTTATTATTTCAAAAGCGTACAAATACTTTAAAAGTATAATTTTATTGCTTTTTTTGACTACTTGTTCTCAAGCCGACATCCAACTTGATCCAGACACTGCGGACAACAACAAGCGATGGGAATTGCAGAAACATGAAATAATTACCTTGAGAATTGGACGCATTCATGCTCAATGGCTTCTCTTAATTCAGTGACTGTTGTAAGTTTCGTAGCCTTGACCCCCCATAAGAAAAAAATATAGTGGTGTGAGGTCTGATGAACGAGGAGGATGTTAAACAAAACCTCTCCATCCAATCCACCTGTTTGGCAAGACCTCAACAGGGAAAGACCTAACATCGCGATGGTAATGTTGGGGTGACCCATCTTGCTGAAAATAGAACTCTACATCTGATGCTTGGCAAAACAGACTGATGCAGAGAGTTTTAAGTGTGCATACATTTTTGGGGCACCCTGTATTATCGTAAAAAGCGGCAATTTTGTAGATGAGAAACATAAAAGCTAAAGATTCATTCCAAACTTACGGAAATTTGACCGGATCCATGAAATGAATGATGTTAATCAATTCTTCCATGTTATTCTGAAGTGGTGTACCAGTGAGTAGGACCTTACTGCTCACATTGAAGGTTTTAAGATTACTCCAAATCTAAACGGGCAAAAGAAAACAAAATAGTTTCCAATGGAAATATGATCACAATTTCAAATGAGATCAAAGATCAACACCTTTGCAGTCTTATTTTTCAAGTGATGCGCCTCATCGACGATAAGAATTTTCCATTTTAATTGCTTGAGGACCTTATGCATCTTATCCGCGTCTCCATGACTCATAATCAAAACATTGAACGAAGGAGTAGCGGGGACATTCTTCTTTCGTCTATTGAATGGACAAAATAGCGACAAAGTAATATTCATGTCAAACTTAATCTCACCATTAACCTATTGTCTAAGCTGATTGGTTTATTAGCACCTTTTCTACCTTCTGGTTTTGGAATAGTCTAGAAGTTGGGCAGATAAAATTCATTTCACATGTTTTAATCCCTGGATTGTGAGAACTGTCTACCCCCGAAGAACCATCAACAGCATCTCGGATAAAAACAAAGCATAATTCTCCAATCGCGTGCCTTATGAGTCTTTCACGTCCCATCGGCAGGTGGTTTGAGTGCCCACACAAAGTAACTCGCAATATTATACAAAGAAATGATTTAGTCAAGGTATTATCTAAGGGACTTCATGAATACTTTCAATAAGCTATGCATCGCTTCTGTCCATTTACTGTGTTTCAGTGGTCCTATCTTTAAGACCATCAAAAAGCAGAGGCCTAAGTAAATGCTGAGAGAGAACATCGATACTCTACCGAAGTCAATGTGACATTGTTCTTTGAAACCCCGATTCTTACTAACCCATCGTCTTAAAACGAAGAAGTAAAAATAAACTGATCTTCTCATACCGCATTTACTTACGCAATGAGATAACGACTCTCCTCACTCTCCTTACAAAAGATCTTGGTCTGAATAAGAGGAGCCCAGTAACGTAATTCGCGTTCCCAGTTCTCAATTACACTGACAGGAACAGCTATGAGAAATGGGCCTGGATTTCGGTCCTAAAGAGAAAAAAGAAAAATGAAAGCGAAATCATTAGCTTACCTCCATTATGAGAGAATAGAGGAAGGCAACGATTTGAATAGTCTTGCCTAAACCCATCTCATCGGCAAGAATAGTGTTCACGCCGTCGTAGTACGATTTTCGTAACCACCGAATTCCCTCGAGTTGGTAATCATGTAATTTGCCTCCAAAGACTTCGGAAAGGTAATCTGGCTGCTTGTTGGTCCAGTTTTGCTAATAATAAAATTGGCGAGTTAAAATTTATCAGTATTTGGTGGCGTAATGTAAAAATAATTTCAAATATTAATATTTAATTTGTTTAAAACGAGCTAAAATAAGAAAATTCATTTTTAAAAAAATTCACAACTTGTTCATGGATGTAAGATATAAATAAATCATAACCGGATGGGACAAACAGCAAACTCTGAACATTGTGAATATAGCTTAACCCTTCAACCTAGGAGTCATGAAATTTTAATCCTGGGCTGTGGGATAGACTTACCTTCTCGTGATGCACCCTGGGCAACGTATAATCATACGGCAAAAAGTCTATTACTCGGCAGTTGACTTCTCACTTCAAACTACCATCACCCCAACTACATGTCATATTCGACCCCTACCACAGTACCCATCTGAGCCTCTGTGTCTGTCTGTTTCTTTTACATCTGTGAATCACTCTTCAGTCCCCCCTCCCTTCTTTAATCTTACCCTTTCTGAGCCTTTGTGTCTGTTTCTTTTACCCTGCTTACCCTTTCTGAGCCTCTGTGTCTGTCTGTTTCTTTTACATCTGTGAATCACTCTTCAGTCCCCCCTCCCGAATTCTTCTCACTTTGATGTTCCTCCTCTCCTCTGTGAAGCTCGAAGTCAAATAAAGTACTAATGATAACTATCAAAACGCCTGCCATTTGTTATAAATAAATAAATATTAATCATAGAGCAGCGCAGAAGTAAGCTTTAGGCCTTATGAAAACATGGACACTTCTAAACCTCCATAGCAGGAACAAAAAGATTCGTGATGCCATGAATTCATAACCTACCCCCACGACCATTTCATACCCACATAAATGCGTTTGTTACTCTTCTTATTCAGATGCTCTCTCTCATGATTAAAACATTATTTTGTGTGAAGATAGACCGAGGCACACAAAGATGATTATGATATTACACAAGGAACATTTATTCCCTGCTGTATAAGTGTAAGTCAATAGCAATTTGCATTTTATTCGAAGTGACTATTATTTTATCTAAACGGCAAGGCAAGTAAGCAATAACCAAAGTTCAAAATTCATTACTCTGCCCCAATGATCTATTGATCTGCCTCAGCAGTTAGTTATTATGCTTCAACTATTCGTTTTTTTGTATTTTTCTATTAAACTGGAAACAAATTGTTAACGCATTTATGTAGTAGTATTCAGTTGAGTATAGTTAAAGTGAACTGATACTGTTATAAATGTTCGATCATCAACTAGAGAAGTCAAGTCAAGTCAAATTAATATAGCATTACCTTTTCTAATAAATAAGAGTACGGTGAATTTGTGTTTCAAGTCAACTACGTCAGTCTGCTTTCCAATTTATCTATTAAAACGCGTACCAAATATGCAGATTAGGAAGGTCGGTCAAACATGGGAGAACGGTAGTTATTATCTGAATCATAAGAAAAACTCATCTTTATATCCACTAATGAGGCAGAAAACTGCGGTCAAGAGGACCGCTTCCACTCACTGTGGCGTTGTTGGTTCTCATTTCCATCTTAGAAGGATCTTATGATGTTTGATGTCTCATTTAAACGCGTCGCATCAATAAGATTTTCTTTAGCATTCTTAAAAGGCGGACTAAGCAAACACTGCTTCCACTTAAGCATGCTCATAATATTTACCCATATTATTAATACCAAATAATCATACCTCCCAATCAAGTGGCGGCTGCAGTGTAGATGGCAGATCATTCAAATAGAGAGTATGAAGATCTGATATCTGTTGTTGATGAGCATTTGCAAGATGAACGAGGAGACGGCGGATGAAATGGGGCAGAAGAAACCGTCGACAATGATCCATAGGAACCTTCCCGTATCTACGATATTTCGGTAGCACAATATCCATATGCCCCAAACTAGCCTCCACAGTCTCCCAAGTAGACAGATACTCAGGTAATTCACGCCACTTAACAAGGACTTCACGATATTGAAGACCCTTAAGATTCTGACTATCTTCTTCAGGGAGGTTACTGTGTGAAAAGTTGCGTTTTAGGGGCATTAAAACATGAAGTTCTGCACGTTCTTCACTGACACTTATGACGCGCTCGGGAAAAAGGAAATCGGGTTCTACACCATTCTCTTCAAAGTATTTGACGCGGCGTTGAAATATCTCTGGTTCGAACTTCAGTAAACTAGAGAAATAGAGAACTAAAGTTGCAAACAGTACTAAAACTCAGACGACTACTCTCTGAATTAAAGTAGGAGTAGATGATGAGAAGTAATATCAACAGACTTATTAAAAAATGCGAGGTTAAAACGGAGAAAAAGGATTTGACTTACTGAGGGTAGAAGTAACCACATGCAACTGGCGCTGTTTCTTCCTCCTTACCGAGCTCTTCAACTATGGACTCGCCGATTTCATAGACCTTATTAGATTCATAAGAACTAAAGCCACTGTCTGTCACGCAATTAGCACTGTCAGCAACCATTTCTCGATACAGTTGATCAGCTGTTTTTATTAGGTCCGCATTTCTTTTAAAAAATATTTTTAAATATTGAACGGAACTGATTTGTAAAACCTCAGAGCCAGTACGCCAGCTGCAATTCCAATATGACTGATCATTGTATTTTATAAAGAAAGCGTATTGAAGAACCAAGTCTTTAAAGGCTTGATATTCATCTACATATAAATGGTGAACAAGAAGAAGCCGAACTAACCCGAAAAGGGGGCAAAGCGGCGAACTTGAAGAATTCGTTCTATTTTAACCCAGCTAACGATTGGTTCCTCAAATTCTTCAGGGGCAGTAGGATCAGGAAAGGGTTTGGATAAAATTAAGTCTATCTGATTTTTAGAGTTGGACGAAGACCTAGAATAAGGTTGTTGAGATCGTCTAGAACTGCGAGCTCGTGGTGTTTCTAGATTAGAACAATCTTGGGATCCCATTGACAGAGTTTCTTCAGAATAAATACTACGAGGTGTATTGCAATTCTCCATTATGTAAAAGGCAATATCAACCCCTAAAATGGACAAAAAATACTCCAAGGACAATAAATTTAGAGATAATTGTTTAAATAAGCTATTAATAAAATGGCGCGAAAATTGAAAATATAAGAGCGAGACCAACAACACAGGCAATAGAAATTGTTGGGAGTAAATTCAATATTGGACAATTATTTGAGAAAAAATATATTTTGATAGAAATTGCCAATTGGCAAACCGAGCATTACGAAAAAACGGAAGAATTGAAAAAAAATCATTCAAACAAATGCTGTAAAGAAAAGTACAGCTGATCACATATATTATCAAAACTATCTATAAAATACATCAAAATAAAATGAATGAAACTGACTTAAGCCAACGCAGAAACAAAAAATCTAAATAAATATTTTTTGTTTATTAATGTGCATAGCGTTTTTAACAGGCTATTATTAAGATCTTTAAGATCGATTACATTAAGATTCTCAAAATCATTACAGAGCATTTGAACGTAACAGAACACGGTTAACACTACTCACGAGCAACAAAACACTCAAACCTTGTAAAGAAAAGCGATAACCCCAATCAAGCGCTTTAAGAGACGTATATTTAAACAAAATGCACAGTATAGAATAACAAACGAACAGTTAAACATATTAAATTTTGCAAATTGAAATACACTTGTACTGTAAACTCATACTTATATAATTTAGAATGTTTCCATTATATCTATTATTATATTTATAATTTTAATTTTTCGCTATGTGTGTAAAAGTACACATTATTAAGGGCATCGTTCTGAAGTTTTGCGTTATTGATAATATTTAATATATCTTTTTTTCTTGACTACTTTCGGTATTTTGGCCTTTCTTTCATTTCATTTATTCATTTTTGATCGCTATAAAAAATCTGCAAACATTTTTAACACATGTACTTAAAAAGTACAAACGCCTTTCTATAAATATTTTGCCAATAATTACTGAAAAAAGTAAATTATAAACATTGAATAATTGAAAAGTACAATTGCAAATATTTTTGACAATGCTTTCATCTCGAAGGGCTTTTTTTAACAAAATATTTGATATATTTGCAAGACCAAAGTGAAATATATTCTAATTTCGTATTATGCAATTATTTATGATATTAAAATCAAATTCTATCTTCTAGGAAGAAAATTGATAATTTAATTAAAACGAAAAACAGTGAATTACCGCAAAATAGACATTTAGAGGATTCGAATACTCTTTGGACTTTCATTCTAGCAAGGTGGGCTTTCAAGGAAATACTTACAGTATGTTACAACATATTTATGCTATAACAATATGACCATGAATGTAAAAAATAGCATTGAACTGATTTCACATGCAAATTTGCCGAAATTCTGTCTTCGCTTATCAGAATTAGTGCTTGATAACAATTTCTATGGCATCAATCATGCATGCAATTATATGCATACATCTCTGCGGATAAGATTTTATGGTAAATTGTTAAACAAACGTGTCTATACTAATAGTAAGCAAATGCCTCAATGTAATTTAGAGTAATAATGTTAAATTAATTACAAGGTTTTCATTATGGTTTATAACTTAGGAGCTCGTCCAACCTTCGCTTAGCCATAGAATACCACTAGCATACAATAAGACTTTGCAGTAGCATTAATAAAGAATTATATTACTGATTGCTGCCGAAAATCAATTAACTTATTAACCATTTTTATTTCAAAATTTGGGTACATTATCACAGTATTCTTTCAGAATTTTTTCAATTCCTTCAACAGTCTCCTTGATAAATCCAGACTGATTTCAAATAGCCCACATGGTCATTATTCTGTAATATGCCAGGATTTCGTAGCTTACCCAAGACTTTATTGTCGGTTCCATCACCATCGTATTTAATTATACTACTATGTTCTATTGCAAATTTTATAAATTCTGCCGATCGAGTTTTAATGCCTATTACTATAATTCCCATGTCAGATGAATTCGAATGGACTATGCATTTACAAGGCTGGATCTTGAGCAGTTTTTCCGTCGGCTACTTCAGCAGCCTTGTAACATATTGCTTTTACTTTTATTTTGTTTAGATTGTTGGTGGTAGTGCTGCAAAAAAGTATGGTGGTCGTCTAGTTCTCACTCTTGCTGTTTTGCTTTGGTCATTGTCATCATTTCTAACGCCATATTTCGCTTCCTCTTGGCATTTGATGATTCTATTCCGGTTTCTACTCGGTGTTGGTGAAGGAATAGGTCTTCCGACAATCTTTCACATATTTTCTTACACCATTCCTGTTGAAGAACGTGGTCGAGCTTTTGGATATTTAATTGGTCTAGGATCAATTGGACAGTTTATCTCGGCTACTTGCTCTCCCCATATGCACTGGTCACACCCATTCCTTTTATTTGGAGGGGCAGGTTTAATTTGGGTATTGGTTTGGGTCTATGCCACTAAATCCTTCGGTGACTTTGAACACCTGGGTTCTGACTATCACACTCCTACCATCCCAGTAAATTTTCATGTTCCAATTGAATTATGAACCCCGATTTCATTATCTTTATTATTATTCTCTTTGTCCTCTTTAGATAAATAATGCGGTGAGGTGGGTCGATTTTTTGACACATCGGTCCCTCTGGGCTATATACGCAGCTCATTTCAGCATGAATTGGTCTAATTATATTGTTATGCAATGGCTGCCAACCTATCTCGTTCGATCACTTGGAGCAACTAATTTCGAGCTGACTCTTACAGCTGTTCCATATATACTCAACTCGGTATTTGGCATTAGTAAGTCTTGTAGCTCATATGAGTTTCTCTCTTTTTCCCTTGATCACGCTTACCATCGACGCATTAGAATCAGTTTTCACTTTTTGGTTGTTACCATGCTTCACTATGAATTTTTTGCAAGTGTGCAGTTTATTAGAGGTGTATTTTGTTTCCTATGTATTTCATAATGCGTGATATATTTTGCACCATTTCTGTCCAGTTATTTATTAAGTACCACTTTCCATTCATTTCCTTCGTGAGGAACAACACCCCCTTTTCCATCAGTATCAACAATTCTAACAGCTAAAATGGTTCATTCTACAAAGCCTTTTGACGTTAGCATATCAGAGGGTCTGGGAACTATGCGAACTTGTCAGATACACTGTCTAACCCTATTTACTCCTCTTTCCCATATATGTCACCTTTTTTTACTGAATTCGTTCCATTATTGCTTAATTAAGTTGTATAATTATTCCATCTTTCTGTTCACTTCTCTTGGCCATATTGAGGGAATTAGCACTTCCGTAATGCTATTTGTTTTCCTTTCATTAAATTCTTCATTTTTAACTAATAATCTCCTATCGAACACCTTTATGCAGTATTGGGTTATTCAAGGAATTTTGGGCAGTATGAAGCATGATTTACCCTCCTTGTTGTTAAGTACACTCAACACTTTTTACGCAGTTGATAAAGTAAATGCGTTTGGACTAAAAATATTCAGAACTGTTTTTTAACTTGTCTTTAATTTGAGAGCATCTGATACACATTAGTATTTTGAATAGGTACGCATTAAAGCTTGCAAATAGAATAATGATCGATTTGGAAACGTCTTCCTTCTACTGTTCATAGTGGTGTCGAACAGTTTGTATCTGTCTCGGCTCTTTGTAAGTGATATAAGGAAAAGTTGTTATTGTGGACTGTTTGTACCCATTCCTCAATATTGGAAGTGTTACTATTAATCACGTCCCCATTTTTACAAATTACCTTCACTTCTCTCTTTCTCTTACTCAGGCGCTGGTCACTTGGCAGACAATCTAGTTCGTCGACGGTGGAGTGTTCTTCGAGTACGCCAGCTCATGACCTCGCTTGGTCTTATCGGCCCCGGATTTCTACTTCTCATGTTCTCCGCATCTACGCGCATTTATCTTGCCGTGTTGTAAGTCCCAACTTCTATCACTCTTCAAGCATCTCATAATTCTTAGAATTTTATGATAATTTTGCCATTTCACTCCAATTAAGTTACCTTAACATTAGAAACAAACACATATCTCAATTGGAGATTGGCTAGTTGAATAGAAGTATTAAAATCAAGTATATATATATATATAATCTTAATGTTACTAGAGTTATAAGTCTTTTATAACTTGAGTGCCCAGTTTCTATCATTGATAGATCCACGTTTAATGGATGTTATTAATTACATATGGAACATAAAATTCCCTTACCTCCTAAACTCTGCGCTTATTATTTCACTTTAGCTAAATGCCTGAATGTTTTAAAGCGACTTTGGTCTTTTCGTTGTCAAATAGTGGTACAAATAATTCCAGTAGATGAGTGTACAACTCTAAATTTGTGTTAATGCGATGTCATGTGTAACTAAGTTATAACTGACTGATGAATGGGAAATCGTTTCTTCAGCGATTACCTACTTGTTGTCTCAATTTCTCCCTGTGATTACCTGATTTGGTAGCTAGGAGTGATAATGCTTCCTGTTATACCTTTTTCTTCAAATGAGTATTTATCGTGGTTTAAGAAACGCTGTGCGATATGCGTGTATATTAAGGAGGTGTTCTTAGAAAGTAGGCTTTCAGCACCAGTCGCTGCGAAAAATGGGAGTGTCTTTAGCCCTGCTAAAAAGTGGGCCGCTTTTTATTTGCAATTTGCATAGTTGGGATTGGGTTTATGGTTAGCCAGTGATCAAGTGATGTGGACATTGCATTTTCCTTTTCTTATGTCTCTAAGAACCGTAATATTCTTTGCTCTTTTGGATGAACTAAATGCTTGAATCGATTTACAGATTTAACCCCTATTTGCAAAAGAGCTGAGTTTTTCTCTTCATTAAGTGCAAATTATGGGTTATGGTGTGTCATATATGTGGAAATGTGTGACCGCAACGGTTGTGCTACTTAAAGGGAAAATGTATCTTTACCCTGGGGGAAATCTTTGTTGTGGGTGACTATATAGTTTACTTTAGTCATTATATAATATTAACCAGTAATAATTACATATCATTAATTTAGCATGGGAGGGAAGTACATCAGATATATTGAAATATCCAACATTATTCTCATGTGTAGCATATTGCGATCTGTTTTTTTCGTGTATCGTAGTTGTATTCCATTCTATCATGCATTTTTACCAGATTGGCTTACTTCTTAGGGCCTAAAACAGGGAAATCTATATATCGAAATTATTATGCCATCATCGACCTCAAAACTTATTTATATTAAATAGCGGGCTTTATGATGTTTACATTAGCCATTTTGCTGAATTTGGGATACACAGTGGGGAGGTACATTAAGGTCACAAAAGTTCGAGAAATCGGGTGGGGGGGGGGGGGGGCAGAAGAGTGATTCATAAATGGAAAAGAGACAAACAGACAGATAGGTAGAGAGTAAAAGGTAAGGTGAGTACTGAGAAAGTGGTGGAATATGATATGCAGTCAGGTCATGATATTTTGAAGTCAGAAGTCAACTGCCGGTTAACAGACTTTTTCACCATATGAATATACGTTGTCCATGGTGCACCTCATCAACCTCAAGATAACAGACAACATATTTGGAAGTGTGAAGGCTTAACGTTTATTTATTTATATCAAATGGCAGGCGTCTTGATGGCTATCATTAGCCCTTTAGTTGACTTCAGGCTTCACAGAGAGGATGAGGAACATCAAAGTGAAAATAGTCGAGTCAGGGGGGGGGGGAACAGAAGAGTGTTTCAAAGATGTAAAAGAGACAGACACAAAGGTAAAAAATGCGAGGTGAGTACTGTGGAAGTAGTCGAATATGACATACAGTGGGGTGATGGTAATTTGAAGTCAGAAGTCAATTGCCGGTTTATAGACTTTTTGCCGTATGAGTATACGTTGCCCAGGGTGCACCACGTGGAGGTAAGTCTACCGCACACCCCATCAACCTCAAGGAAACAGATAACATGTTTGGAAGTGTGAAGCTCAACGTTATTGACTGATCTAGTCACATATTAAGCTTCGGCATTGTTTGGTGGTTGTTAGTCCTCTTGAAACATTTTGCTTTTATGATATTCGTGTTTTTTTCTGCTTTCAGGTTGATTTCAATTTCCATGGGTCTATCGGCATGTAACGCAGCTGGGCATTTGGCTTCTCATTCAGAAGTAGCTCCTAATCATGCTGGAATCACCTTTGCCGTCAGCAATACTCTGGTTAGTATTCCATTATTTTGTATCCTTGTCCTCATCGTTCTTATTTACCACCCCTTGGCATTTTCAAACCCTTTTTTTACTAAGGCATCAGTGTCATCATTTGTCTCCCTTGTGACGAACTCGAATTCCACCAGCCTCTATCTACCAAAAATCTAACCACCGCGTCTGATCATTGAATCCGTGACTTCTGACATCGTAGATTGTCACGTTAAGCGACACGTCATCAGTGCCCATGCCTTAGTACTAATAGAATAGTTATTCCGATCATTAGATTTATTTTCATTATCTCGCTTAATTGTCACATTTCTTGTGAGGTGTTAGTCTGTAATAAAGGAACACTTTAAATAAGTATTTTAAAATGGGAGGTTTTTTGCGCTTTAATTCTGTTTGACGTTTTCCTTTGTGGCAAACTATATATGCTATGGAATCTGATATTTACAAAATGTTATTATTATTATTATTATATCAAATGGCAGGCGGTTTGATGATTAGTTGACTTCAGGCTTCACAGAGAGCATTAGCCCTTTAGTTGACTTCAGGCTTCACAGAGAGGAGGAAGAACATCAAAGTAAAAAAGTCGAGATCGAGAAAGGAGGAACAGAATGGTGTTTCAAAGACGAAGGTAGAAATGGTAGAAAAAAGGTGAGGTGAGTACTGTGAAAGTAGTCGAATATGATATACAGTGGGGTCATGGTAATTTGAAGTCAGAAGTCAACTGCCGGTTTCTAGACTTTTTTGCAGTATGCGTATACGTTGCCCATGGTGCACCACTTGGAGGTAAGTCTATCACACAACCCCTGGAATCTGATATATTAAAGCGTTAACGATCGGTGAATGCATTACATTTTTTGCCTGTGTCCTGATATTTTTGAACTCACTCGTCACTGTCTAGATGGAGCTTGAATCATTTTAAAGTTTCTCCTTTCTAAGGCCCTTCTAGTTTTATTACATAATAAATTAATATAAAATATTGAACTGTTGTGATCTGAAATTATCAATACGGTCGTAGAGCGTGTATATCTCCCTAACCACTGACATAGTCTATGTAAATATATTCAGCGTATTTATTTATCTATATCAAATGACCGGCTTTATGATAGTTATCATTAGCCTTTTAGTTGACTTCGAGCTTCACTGAGAGGAGGAACATCAAATTGGGAAAAAATTCTATAGGGGGAACAGAAGACTGATTCACAGATTTAAAGGAGACAGACACAAAGGTAGAGAAAAAGGAAAGGTGAGCTCTGTGGGAGTTGTGGAATATGACTTACAATGGGGTCGTGGTAGTTTTAAGTGAATTGCCGGTTGATACGTTGCCCATGCTGCACCACGTGGAGGTAAGTCTATCGCACACCCCATATATCCAGTGTAAGCGCATCCACAGTGGCTATCTACCCATATCTGATTTTCAGCAATTATCCGGCAATGTGCCAGTGCCAAAATTTCTGTAGCTAGAACGTAATAGGAGTCGTTGTTGCTGCTGTCTTTTTAACTTAATACGCTATTGCAAAAACCAAAACCTCAACCCGACTAGTTTTTAAGAATTTATTGTACTCACAT